TTTCTCCAATCTTCTCAAAACTCTGGATTCTGATAGAGGGCTGTGAGACTTTGACCTGAGTGCAAAAATGGAGGCTCTAGACCCTTCCAGAGCTGAGATATCGAAATTCAAAATTTCGACCCGAAAAAAAAAACGACAGTGTTACCCCTTTCGTTTTTTTCGTTTTTGGGTGGAAAAATTAAGTTTCTCCAATCTTCTGGATTCTGATAGAGGGCCGTGAGACTTTGACCTGAGTGCAAAAATGGAGGCTCTAGACCCTTCCAGAGCTGAGATATCGAAATTCAAAATTTCGACCCGAAAAAAAAACGACAGTGTTACCCCTTTCGTTTTTTTCCATTTTGGGCGAAAAATTAAGTTTCTCCAATCTTCTCAAAACTCTGGATTCTGATAGAGGGCTGTGAGACTTTGACCTGAGTGCAAAAATGGAGGCTCTAGACCCTTCCAGAGCTGAGATATCGAAATTCAAAATTTCGACCCGAAAAAAAAACGACAGTGTTACCCCTTTCGTTTTTTTTTCGTTTTTGGGCGAAAAATTAAGTTTCTCCAATCTTCTCAAAACTCTGGATTTATGATAGAGGGCTGTGAGACTTTGACCTGAGTGCAAAAATGGAGGCTCTAGACCCTTCCAGAGCTGAGATATCGAAATTCAAAATTTCGACCCGAAAAAAAAAAACGACAGTGTTACCCCTTTCGTTTTTTTCGTTTTTGGGCGAAAAATTAAGTTTCTCCAATCTTCTCAAAACTCTGGATTCTGATAGAGGGCTGTGAGACTTTGACCTGAGTGCAAAAATGGAGGCTCTAGACCCTTCCAGAGCTGAGATATCGAAATTCAAAATTTCGACCCGAAAAAAAACGACAGTGTTACCCCTTTCGTTTTTTTCCGTTTTTGGGCGAAAAATTAAGTTTCTCCAATCTTCTCAAAACTCTGGATTCTGATAGAGGGCTGTGAGACTTTGACCTGAGTGCAAAAATGGAGGCTCTAGACCCTTCCAGAGCTGAGATATCGAAATTCAAAATTTCGACCCGAAAAAAAACGACAGTGTTACCCCTTTCGTTTTTTTTCGTTTTTGGGCGAAAAATTAAGTTTCTCCAATCTTCTCAAAACTCTGGATTCTGATAGAGGGCCACGAGACTTTGACCTGAGTGCAAAAATGGAGGCTCTAGACCCTTCCAGAGCTGAGATATCGAAATTCAAAATTTCGACCCGAAAAAAAAAACGACAGTGTTACCCCTTTCGTTTTTTTCCGTTTTTGGGCGAAAAATTAAGTTTCTCCAATCTTCTCAAAACTCTGGATTCTGATAGAGGGCTGTGAGACTTTGACCTGAGTGCAAAAATGGAGGCTCTAGACCCTTCCAGAGCTGAGATATCGAAATTCAAAATTTCGACCCGAAAAAAAAACGACAGTGTTACCCCTTTCGTTTTTTTCCGTTTTTGGGCGAAAAATTAAGTTTCTCCAATCTTCTCAAAACTCTGGATACTGATAGAGGGCTGTGAGACTTTGACCTGAGTGCAAAAATGGAGGCTCTAGACCCTTCCAGAGCTGAGATATCGAAATTCAAAATTTCGACCCGAAAAAAAAAACGACAGTGTTACCCCTTTCGTTTTTTTCCGTTTTTGGGCGAAAAATTAAGTTTCTCCAATCTTCTCAAAACTCTGGATTCTGATAGAGGGCCACGAGACTTTGACCTGAGTGCAAAAATGGAGGCTCTAGACCCTTCCAGAGCTGAGATATCGAAATTCAAAATTTCGACCCGAAAAAAAAAACGACAGTGTTACCCCTTTCGTTTTTTTCGTTTTGGGCGAAAAATTAAGTTTCTCCAATCTTCTCAAAACTCTGGATTATGATAGAGGGCCACGAGACTTTGACCTGAGTGCAAAAATGGAGGCTCTAGACCCTTCCAGAGCTGAGATATCGAAATTCAAAATTTCGACCCGAAAAAAAAACGACAGTGTTACCCCTTTCGTTTTTTTCCGGTTTTTGGGCGAAAAATTAAGTTTCTCCAATCTTCTCAAAACTCTGGATTCTGATAGAGGGCCACGAGACTTTGACCTGAGTGCAAAAATGGAGGCTCTAGACCCTTCCAGAGCTGAGATATCGAAATTCAAAATTTCGACCCGAAAAAAAAAACGACAGTGTTACCCCTTTCGTTTTTTTCGTTTTCGGGCGAAAAATTAAGTTTCTCCAATCTTCTCAAAACTCTGGATTCTGATAGAGGGCTGTGAGACTTTGACCTGAGTGCAAAAATGGAGGCTCTAGACCCTTCCAGAGCTGAGATATCGAAATTCAAAATTTCGACCCGAAAAAAAAAACGACAGTGTTACCCTTTTTTTTTTTTTTTCGTTTTTGGGCGAAAAATTAAGTTTCTCCAATCTTCTCAAAAACTCTGGATTCTGATAGAGGGCCACGAGACTTTGACCTGAGTGCAAAAATGGAGGCTCTAGACCCTTCCAGAGCTGAGATATCGAAATTCAAAATTTCGACCCGAAAAAAAAACGACAGTGTTACCCCTTTCGTTTTTTTCCGTTTTTGGGCGAAAAATTAAGTTTCTCCAATCTTCTCAAAACTCTGGATTCTGATAGAGGCCACGAGACTTTGACCTGAGTGCAAAAATGGAGGCTCTAGACCCTTCCAGAGCTGAGATATCGAAATTCAAAATTTCGACCCGAAAAAAAAAACGACAGTGTTACCCCTTTCGTTTTTTTTCGTTTTTGGGCGAAAAATTAAGTTTCTCCAATCTTCTCAAAACTCTGGATTATGATAGAGGGCTGTGAGACTTTGACCTGAGTGCAAAAATGGAGGCTCTAGACCCTTCCAGAGCTGAGATATCAAAATTCAAAATTTCGACCCGAAAAAAAAACGACAGTGTTACCCCTTTCGTTTTTTTCCGTTTTTGGGCGAAAAATTAAGTTTCTCCAAACTCTGGATTCTGATAGAGGGCCACAAGACTTTGACCTGAGTGCAAAAATGGAGGCTCTAGACCCTTCCAGAGCTGAGATATCGAAATTCAAAATTTCGACCCGAAAAAAAAACGACAGTGTTACCCCTTTCGTTTTTTTCCGTTTTTGGGCGAAAAATTAAGTTTCTCCAATCTTCTCAAAACTCTGGATTCTGATAGAGGGCTGTGAGACTTTGACCTGAGTGCAAAAATGGAGGCTCTAGACCCTTCCAGAGCTGAGATATCGAAATTCAAAATTTCGACCCGAAAAAAAAACGACAGTGTTACCCCTTTCGTTTTTTTTCGTTTTCGGGCGAAAAATTAAGTTTCTCCAATCTTCTCAAAACTCTGGATTCTGATAGAGGGCTGTGAGACTTTGACCTGAGTGCAAAAATGGAGGCTCTAGACCCTTCCAGAGCTGAGATATCAAAATTAAAAAATTCGACCCGAAAAAAAAACGACAGTGTTACCCCTTTCGTTTTTTTCCGTTTTTGGGCGAAAAATTAAGTTTCTCCAATCTTCTCAAAACTCTGGATTCTGATAGAGGGCTGTGAGACTTTGACCTGAGTGCAAAAATGGAGGCTCTAGACCCTTCCAGAGCTGAGATATCGAAATTCAAAATTTCGACCCGAAAAAAAAACGACAGTGTTACCCCTTTCGTTTTTTTCCGTTTTTGGGCGAAAAATTAAGTTTCTCCAATCTTCTCAAAACTCTGGATTCTGATAGAGGGCCACGAGACTTTGACCTGAGTGCAAAAATGGAGGCTCTAGACCCTTCCAGAGCTGAGATATCAAAATTCAAAATTTCGACCCGAAAAAAAAAACGACAGTGTTACCCCTTTCTTTTTTTTTTTCGGGCGAAAAATTAAGTTTCTCCAATCTTCTCAAAACTCTGGATTCTGATAGAGGGCCGTGAGACTTTCACCTGAGTGCAAAAATGGAGGCTCTAGACCCTTCCAGAGGTGAGATATCAAAATTCAAAATTTCGACCCGAAAAAAAAAATTGACAATGTTACCCATTTCGTTACCAGAATCCAAAGTTTTGAGAAGATTGGAGAAACTTAATTTCTCGCCAGAAAAAAAAAAAAAAATCCGAATGGCACTGTCGGTTTTCTTGGGGTCGAAATTTTGAGTTTCTCTGAGCTTTGAGTTGATTCGCATCGTGTCTAACAACGCCCTTCAGCCGTTACTTATTCACGATCTAGCACAGCCAAGTAACTTATTGCGAGATAATCTCGCTCTTAGTTATGAGAAAAAATATGGTATATTCAAACAGTCACGCAGAGCCAAGTCGCAACTAAACATTGTTCCTCTGCATACAGATTTTTTCCAACCGTTAGAAAGCCAAAAGTTGAATAAATCATCATGGCTTTGTTTAGATCGCTTAAGATTATTGATACCTCTTTAAGTAATATTTTGAGATGGCATGCCTTTGTTTTAGTCTCTTAAAGATCTTCCTTCAACAGATGTAATAGCTGTGCTTCATTTGTTTGTGGCTGAAACGTTAATGTTTTTGAAACCTTACACTTTCAAAGAATGAATACAGAGACATGGCACAGATCAAAGTTTATCAAAAGCATTTAATATTATTCAGAGTAATCATATCAATGACACACGAATTCACAAAGTGTTTAAGACATGTCTGGCTCAGTTCGCTTCGTGTGTGAATTCCAAAACAGTGCAGATTTTAAATAACCACAAAAATAAAATAATGAAGAAAAAAAAGGAAAGTGTGTATATTGCAACAGGAAAAATATTTCTTAAAAAATTGAGAGTAGCTCAAGAAGAACTCAGCACCATCTATTTCATAATCAAAACCATTTTCCTGATAATACATGAATCATTTCACACTAACGCCTCTAAAGCTGTAAAAAATTACAGTATTTATTTTAAAACAATAATGCGTTAAATCCCCTTTCACACTGTTACTCGTTCCAGTAAAATGCCACAATTTACAGTTCAATGTGAGTTTTCTCCATATAATAAGCATTAGTTCAGGCGTATGACAACCCACTGCAGCCAATAACGGTATAGCATGTATATTGAAAGTTTATGCCTGCTGTAGTCAGCGTGGCAAACGTGTCCTCAATCGAACAGCATTTACAACAGGACAGAAGCACCATTAAATATGTAAGATAGGTATCAAAAACTGTTCTTAACTCAAATTGGTGAATCACCTGAATTCATCAACTAGCTGCTAATCGAGGCTCAGGATTCCTGACATTAGTCCAAGTCACCATCTTAGTACAAAAACAAGCAAAAAGATTCAGCGAGCACAGGTCTAATCTGATGAGAACTCGTATGAACATGGCCCCTGGATTTAATCCTTTTTAAATAAACATATAAACTGGATAGTGAGCAGGTGTTCAAATATATAACAGTGATCACATTTAAGTCATGTTGTTGCTAACTTAGGTGGGGGAAAAAAACGTGTTGTAAAAACATTTGTGTTCATCAGACAACTTCTGATTAGTCAAATCCTACCCTCTGTGCTCTACAATCTAAAAGGACAAGGAGTCAGTTATGAGATTTAATTCATATAAACAAGAAAGACATTTAAAGGGGTAAGCACCAAAATTAAAAAAAGAAAAAAAGAAAATCAGCACCCTTAACATATAGAGGACTTAGAATAACAATAGAAACCCTTAAAACATCTATGATAACCATGTTGAGGCAGGGAGAGCATTTTATATCCAATAAATAGAAGAACATTTTAAATAAAAAAAAATGTACAATAAAAAAAAACCCCAAAGAGAATAGATCTGTATAGAGGAGAGAAACAAGTCACTGACTAAAACAGATGAAACTGAACAAGAATAACCACAAAATGCAGGAAAAGAGATTGATTAAAAATGCAATCCTTAAATGCTTGTCCTGATGATATAAACACAACGTTTCATACTAAAACTGAAAAAAGTCTTTTAAAACCCGTATGTTTTGAAGCATTCTGAACAACTATTTCTTTTTAATTCTTAATGCTTTAGAAAAATGTCCATAGCTCTATTATTAGTATTATTATTTTTTATCTCTTCACTAAATACAAGTCACAAGGCCAATGTGGTATATATCTAGGCTGTTCTAGGTTTAAAAATAATAAATTATTGGAGAAAAATAAGCACCCACGAAAAGTACAAAGAGCATTTAGACATTTCAGTATTCAAGACAAAAAACAAACATGAAAGAAAACTAAGAACAAAAACCTAAACTGACAGGATCTCGTCAAATCCACGGCCGTAAGCCGCGACAGCACCAGACTGCGGTTCATCGGACGTCCCGCAGAGCCATTCAGACGTTGATACACAAAGACCGAGAGGAGCAAACTGGAGTCTTATTGGCTGATTGGTTCTGTAAACAATTCTTAGTAAACTGGTTCTGGATTGGCTGTTCAACAAATATTAACAGTAGTAGGTAATTTTTTTTTTCCCAACTGTAAATGTTTTAAGTCTTAAATGGACTAAAATAAAAGATCTTGTCCTGCGAGCAGGAGTTTTGGTTATGGCTGTGTGAGGGAAAGTGATGAGACCTTCTCATCGGGAGCTGGGACTGATGGCCTGAGAAAGACAAAGACAAGCAAATGATAGATGTTAGCTCTTTGTTCAACTGCACGCGTCGTCAAAGTGCACGAACACGAACTCACCAGGGTGAATGAGTCGTACACGTTCATCAGCTCCTCCATGCGGTATTGCTCCAGCACCACTACATTGGAGAGGTTTGGGCTTCGTTGTCGTGCACAGTCCTCACAGTGCACCACATACGTCTTCCGACTGCCATTCTCGCTGGTCACAAACAGCAGGTTAAACACCTCCACCTGCTCAGGAGCATACACACAAACCATAAACTCTTAAAGGGCGCCTATTATATTATTTACAGGTTCATAATTAAATCATGTAAATTTATTCTTGTAGACAAAATGTTTTTTTCCTACAAGATCAGTATGGTGTACCACAAGGCTCAGTACTAGGACCGTTGTTTTTTACTTTGTACATGCTACACTTGGGAGATCACATTAGGTTAGTCTTCTCTGTTACACTGTTGGTCCTCAGCTTTCTATGTGCCCTGACGAAACAGATCAACTATTCATTCCGCTAATTTTGTGAATTAGTCTAAAATAATTGGATGCCAAAGTAATTCCCTACTGCTTAAAGCTACAGTCCGTAATTTTTTTCAGTATTCAATTTTTTTTTTAAATGTATATAATAAGAGTACATCATGAATTAATTTTCCAATCCCAAGTTCTTGGCTGACTCACTATAGTACACCTATAATAAGACCATGTTAGACTGGTAAAATAGTCTTATTACTGGGGAGTAACTCAGTACCTGCGTGACTCAGGACTGCAGCTTTATTTAAAGGGATACTCCACTTTTTTTTGAAAATAGGCTTATTTGACATTTTCCCCAGAGTTAAACAGTTGAGTTTTACCGTTTTCAAATGCATTCAGCCGATATTCTGATATTTAAAAGAAAATCAGTCACCAGACAGTTTCTGGTCTCATTGACTTCCATAGTATATATTTGTTCCTACTATGGAAGTCAATGAGACCAAATACTGCCTGGTGACTGATATTCTTCTAAATATCAAAAAAATCGTCTGAATACATTCGAAAACGCTAAAACGAACTGTTTAACTCTGAGGGAGTGGTAAAATGAGCCTATTTGCAAAAAAAAGTGGAGTATCCCTTTAAAACACAAACACTTTGTCTGTATTTCAAAAATTAAATTAATTTATTATAATAAGCAAGTATACAAACTCTAATAAACAAACTCCAGCTGGTCCAAAACATAGCAGCTAGAGTTCTTACCAGAACCAGGAAGTATGACCATATTAGCATGGTTCTATCAACACTCCACTAGCTTCCTATTAAACATTGTTAATTAGAAAGAAGAAGAGGTACCCGCTTTTTGGTGTCCGCACCACAAGAACTGGGAACGATTTCAGTTCTAGGAACACCTTTTGTGGGGACTAAATTAGCTCCTACTTTAGAGTAGGGTCTAACCCAGAACCATAGGAACTACCAGTGACGTAAGTGTACACTAATTGGGCTATTTTGAGCAATTTTGAGACCAAGCATAACATGATTATGTATTTCTGCTATTGGGCATCAAACGCTAATACGTCCTTTTATACTATCTACTTTCTTTGTATAACAGTTCTATATAATAACATATTAGATAGGACTGTTAAACAGATTGCAAACTAATGAAGATGAAGAATGGGAGCACTGTGTGCTCATCGCCATCAAAATAAAAGTCACAACAAGCGCAGTTTACGTCACTTCAGAGTTCCTGCTGGAGGTGCGAATGCAACCAGGAAAATGGACCAAGGGAACATTTTGTTCTCTGTGAACCACTCCAGTAGCTAGGTCCTAGAACTACCCAGTTCGAAAGGGGTTATAGTCCGTCATATCTATTGTGATCTCAAAATTCTGGCCAATAATACCAACATCGTCTGCAGGCAGTAGATCCTTTTCCCATTCAGCACCCAAAATAGTCTTCCTAGCCTTGTTCGGGAAGCAGACACACTCTGTCAGTTTAAATCTAGAACCTGGCATACACAACACATTATCAATTCCTATTATTCAAATCAGTTAAATGAATGTTAGGCTGCATAAACCAGGTCAACCGGAACCAGGAACCCTTCCTATAACACCCGATGTACTTGTTACATCATAAGAAGAATGGCATCTACGCTAATGTTAGTCTGTCTGTCTCATCCTCATCCCAAGGTTACCGTAGTCAGCCGTATTCGGTCCATATCCAGGTCAGATGGTGGACCTGCATCTAGACACGACCAAAACACAGCCCTGAATGTCAGCAGGGACCGTGTCAACTAGACAATCCCCTGTGAAGGCCTCATCGACATGACAGTCATCGGCAGGTCCTCCGCACAGACCCTATGGCCTTCAGCTTTGGCTCCATACCAGAGTGATGAATTGATCTTCAAGCAAAAGGAACTAGATAAATATTTGAATGCTAATTCTGACTTGTGATGCAGCCTGAAACATCACACTGTGCTCGTTCAGTGGCCAGAGGAGAACTGGCCCTCTTGATTGAGCCTGGTTTCTCCCAATTTTTTCTCTCTCTCTTTTCTCTAACTCTCTCTCTCTTTTCTCTAACTTGCTAGCCGAAATAGCCGAAATGAATAGTTTTCTTGTAATCACTGGAAAGATGCTTTGAAACAAATCTGTGTATTGTATAAAGCACTATATAAATACAAATGACTTGACAAAAGCCAAACCAGAATGGTTTGAATTTAGGTTTGTGAAATTATGCTGAATTTAAACAGTAGACTGAATAAAAATGCAAATTCACTCTCTGACAGTAAGAGATGATTATGAAACAGCAGATCCCTTCAGAAATGCATACATATAAATATTGAATTGGGGGTGGGGGTTTATATTTTCTTCCTCTAGTTCGAGCATCATGAACTGCAGGCTTGTTGTGCCTGGTACAGTATTTGCTCTGCTGGAGCATCTGTGTTCTCCTTTGCGTCTGTCTATAGGCGCTTTTCCACTGCATAGTACGGTACGGTTCGGTTCGGTACGTCTCACTTGTGGTGCTTTTCCACTGCATGGTACGGTACAGTACGGTTCGCTTCAGGTCGCTTTAAATGGTACCTGGTCTGTTGAGGTTCCAAGCGTACCGTACCGGTACTAAAATGTGACGTGAAACACTGCAGATCACTGATTGGTCAGACAGAATCGTCATTCCCTGCGTCACTACTAGCGTCATTGGATTTGTGACACGAGACACGAGACACTTTTTAGCAGTATTTTGTTTTGCTGCCATCAGCCTCATTTTAAACACATTTTTCCGTCTAGCAGTTAAAAACAACCACATACCGAGAATCAGGAACACCATCCCCTCGATAGTCTCCATTGTTCCTGTGTTGTGGGTTTGAAAATGTGGCGCTTTTAAGATGATGTCATGGCAGTAGAGGCGTACGCAAATAACGATCAGTCCCACACACTTTGAAGGGGTACTATTGCAGTGGAAACGCAAAGCGATCCGAACTGTTCCGCGCCAAGTCGAAGCGTACTGAGCCGAACCGTACCGTACTATGCAGTGGAAAAGCGCCATTTG